TAAAACAGAAATCAAGATAGATAAAAATACTTAAAAACAACATTTAACACAACTTCTCTAATTGATTACAACTATCAGTTTGATTTCATTTTGTTCAAACATTATTTCCCTCGCTTCCTTATCATTCTTGACTCGCACCCACCCACGCTGGGCATCGTACCTCTAAATATTTCTTTTTTTTTCCTTCCGGTATGTCTCCTTCTAACCAACGCTTCAACTCCCTCTGGAGTTTCTCTAAACTACAGATGTTCCAGAAAAGCATATCCATAGGCGGTTTGCCTCTCGAAAAAAATCATGTTCTCGTAGCGGCAAAGATACATCTTAAAACTAATAGAAGAAATTTATAATATATGTGAAAAATAATTCACACCACACCTCTGTTTATATCATATATGCACTGTACATAAATAATAAAATATTCAAAGGTTCTGCCCATTGCAATGTCGGTACTGTACATAAATAATAAAATATTCAATAGTTCCGCCTATTGAAGTGTCGGAACTGTACTTAAATAATAAAATATTCAAAAGTTATGCCCTTTGTAGTGTCGGAACTGTACATAAATAATAAAATAGTCAAAAATTCCGTCCATTGCAGAGATGAAACTGTACTAAAATAGTAAAATATTTAAAGAACCGCCCAATGTAGTAATGGATCTATACTAAAATAATAAATTTTAATTATTAATATTAATTTATATTATTTATTGTTAATTAAGTTAATAATTAATAGTAATTATATTAATCATTAATATATTCATATATTTATATAAATTAATATATATTAATATTTATAAAATTATATTAATTGTTAATATATTATTATAATTATATTAATTAATATATATTATGTCAGTTATGAAAAAAATTAGTTTTGTCATTGTCGCCCATTCAATGGCTGGTAGAGTTCATTTTACATAGGTGTCGCCTTTTCAATGGGCGGCAGTGCCTACGTGGACGTTTTTTAGTTTGAAAGTATGATAATATGGTATGTATGATTCAATGATATGGCAAAATGGTATTCATTCCCTCCATTTTAAAATGACTGTCGTTTTAGGGAAAAATTTATGTTTTAAAATTACTGTCATTCTCAATTTTCAATGTAATAATAATTGTTATTTTTTCAATTGTGTCATATAATTATTACTCTGTACACTATTTTCAATACATTAATAAGACTAATTTAGTAAAAGTGCATTATCTTATGACAATATCATTGCATTATTTAATTTGTGTGCAAAAATCTTAAACGACAGTCATTTTGAAATGGAGAAAGTATTTTTTAATAATGTGACATAGTTGAAAAAAATTCACATTGTGAGATGGAGGAACTACTATTTTAGTGACCAGGAGCTTAACCTTTTCCAAATACTAAGAAAAACACTGCAATCAATCAATCAATATATAGTAGCTTCAGCTTTTGCATGTTTTTTAACACTTCAATCAGTAGCTTCCGCTTTTGCACGTTTTTTAACACTTCAATCAGTAGCTTCCGCTTTTGCACATGCCAGTTGGATCATTAATTAATAGAAAAATTAAAAAGGCTATATTATAACATATGAAAAATTAAAATGGCTATATTAAATGATCATCATATGAAAAAGTCCAACGGTTGAATATTGTCATACCCCAAATTTAACCCCAGATTCTTTGATTTTTCGCGTATCATTTTAGGTCAATCATCTTCACATTTGTAGTCAAGAGTTCCTCACCCCTTTAGTGGGGAACTACGGTTGCTCCGATTCCATTTCCGTCAGGATACGTAGGCACGAGATGCGATGTCTTGGCGAGCATACTTTGTATATACTTTAGATTTTTACCTTAGCACTTTTCTCTTAGCAAGAAACTTTAGCATGACACAAATACTAACAAGAGGTTCATGTAGAGTACTACAGATACTTAGGATGCTAACACCTTCCCTAGGTATAACCAACCCCCGAACCTTAAATCTCTTAGCTGTGTTGTTACATTGCATACTTAGGGTTTTCTTCAATCTTTACCCTTTCCTTTGGATAAATCAAAGCTCGGTGGTGAACTTCATGATTTGTAATTCAAGTTAATTCAATAGTTTGATATATGATTCTCACCGTAACAGAAATGGCGACTTCACTGAGGACATCCCCTAAGAGGGTTAATCCCACCTTGTTTGTATTTGTGTTTGTTATATGTTTGCTTGCTTGTGTATTTGTATATTTGTATATATTTGTACATATATTTGTTTGTGCCTGGGTTTTTCTGTATGCAGGGTTGTTACCTCAAGTGGTGAGGATAAGTGTTATACCCGGACTTGAGTGCACATATGATAGGAAGGTGGTATATTCAAGAAGGCTTAGAGGGAGTTGATTCCCGACCAAGTTGACTTGAGAAACCACCGCTCAGTGGAGGCCCTCTTGGGAGTAGTTTAACTAGTATTCGTGAAGACATTACTACTTTCAACCTAGGAGCATGTGACACTGAGGACCTTTAGTTACCTTTTACCCCCACTTGACCTTTTAGGACGTAGTGTAATGAGTATAAGGGAGTAGTCTTGAAGTAGTTGATACACGATACTACACTCAGACGAGACTCTCTTGAGAATATTATTGATTTCCAAGTAGTTGGTGTGTCGGTAATATCTGAAAGATGGGTCAATGACTTTGGGAACTTTATTAGAACCTATTGTGCAGGTGCTTTACCCCTAGTACACACCTTGTGGTTGGTTCTTTACCCAGACCTCATGCTGTGATCTCGAACCTTTGATCATGTTATGTGTGTTTTGCATCCCGTCTTGCATCGCATTGCATTTGCATCTTTACATGGTTCATTGCATACCTCTATTTGTCCAGTAACTCATGTTCAGTTGTTTCTATCTTCCAGTGTACCTGTGAGTCGTCAAACTGATTCCTCAACACCGATATCAGACTAGAGCTAGCTACAGACGCAGAATGTCAGAGCAAGAGGTATATAATGCAGAAATCCGAATGGAGAGTGATGACTTAAAATCAGGCATGGCCAAGCTCACCGAGATGCTTCAAGTCCTAATTTCCAGAGGAGAGCCACCTCAGAGGACCATCATTCAGGAAGTTTCAACCGTTGATCCTCCTCATGTTCAAATGCCACCATCTACTTGGCCAGAGTTTGGTTTACCTCACAACTACTTTCCACCTCTTGCATCTACTGCTATGATTGGTCAGACTGTCGGACCAGTTTTTCATGCTCTAGTCTTTGTTGAACCCAGACCTGTGGTCCACACTGTTATCCAGACTGTCCGAGCTCCCTTTGAGAACCCTCTCTATGAGTACAATGTTGCCAGTGCTCAGGGTGAAGACCATGAAGATTTTGTTGAGCCTGAGGTTGTCCGTGAACAGTTTTAGATCATAGATAAGAGACTCAAAGTCGTTTAGGGTACTGATTTCTTCGATGTGGATGAAAACAACATGTGCTTAGTTTTCGGCCTTGTTATGCCTGTTAAGTTCAAAACTCCTTAGTTCATAAAGTACAAGAGTCACTCTTGCCCAAGAGCTCATCTGGTCATGTACTTCCGAAGGATGGCTGCTTATACCAACAATCAGAAGTTGCTCATCCACTACTTTCAAGATAGTTTGAGTGGCGCCTCTCTCAAGTGGTATATGAACTTAGAACAGAACAGTGTCCACTGCTTCCAAGGTCTCGCCAATGCTTTTATGAAGCAATACAAATACAATCTTGACATGGCTCCTGATCATCGCCAACTTCAGAATATGTCTCAGAATGAGAGAGAGTCGTTCAAGGAATATGCTCAATGTTGGAGAGAGTTAGCTTCCCAAGTTGAACCCCTTCTAGCGGAGAAAGAGCTAACTGGAATGTTCATGGATACTTTGTCCCCTTTCTATTGAGAAAAGATGATTGGGAGTGTCTCTTCAAGCTTTATCACGACAAATATTAATTGAAAGAAAAATTTCAACAACAATATTTTACTACATGTAAAAAATAACGGTAATATTGTTACTTGTAAAAAAAAACTAACGGTAACATTTTTCAATCTTATAAATAGGTTATTAATTTTATTATAATTTTCATTCACAACTAGTTTAATTTTGAACTATTGATTTTATCTCATTTTAATTATTTTCTTCTACACGTTTATTTGTTAATAGATCCCAATCAAAATAGCTCTTAGTCTACTTTTATGTAAAATAGTGATAGTCCCCCTTCTGATGTCAATGTTTGCACGGGACTATGCATGCATTGAGGGTGGAAAAGTTGAGATAGAGAGAAAAAAAGTTGATGGAAAGATTAAGAAGGTTGGGAGTGCTGAGAAAAGATTAAAGATGAATGATCTGCAAATACTTTCAAAAGATACATCAAATATGGATACAAGACAACTACAAGCTCATGAAATGTTGTGCGACATGATTAGAGAAAAATATGGACTTAATTAGTATGATTATGTATTTTGGGCTTAATTAGTAAGATTATGTATTTTGAACTTAATTGATATGATTATGTATATTGGACTTAATTAGTATGATTATTTATTTTGGAATTAATTAATATGGACGTAATTAGTATGATTATGTATATTGGACTTAATTAGTATGATTATGTATTCAAAGTCAAACTAGTCGTTATTCAAACTAGTCGTTATTCAAAGTTAAACTAGCCGTTATTCAAACTAGTTGTTATTCAAAGTCAAACTAGTCGTTATTCAAGATAGTCAGATAAATAGTATTAACATGCAGACTAACCTCTTGCATTCTCTACAATTTGTTATCATCTTTTACTAAATATCAAACTTCTTTTCACATGGATCCTTCCAATCCTTCCCACATTGCAAAAATGTTCATGGATTATATGAATTATGACATGGATCAAGAACTTGTGAGGTTCTTTATGAAAGAAGAAGCATTGAGCTCTAGAAGGCCTGGACGTCAAAGAAGGAATATAGAGAGGAATCGTGAATAGGGATATTATCAATTGTTCAAAGATTATTTTTCAGAAACTCTGATATACACAAATGAGCAGTTTCGTAGAAGGTATCGAATGCATAAACACGTGTTCCTTCGTATTGTTGAAGCTCTAGGTCAACATGATGAGTATTTCCAAATGATGGTTGATGTAATAGGTAGGACAAGCTCACCATTACAGAAATGCATTGTTGTTATACGTATGTTGGCATATAGAACATTTGCTAACAGTGTGGATGACTATTTGAGAATTGGTGAAACCACGACACTAAAATGTGTTGATAAGTTTACAAGATGGGTGATTAGTATATTTGGTGCACAACATTTGCGAAGGCCAAACACCGAAGACATTGAATGCCTAATGCAAATAGGAGAGGCATGGGGATTTCCTGGTATGTTATGGAGCATTGACTGCATGCATTGAGAATGAAAAAAATTATCCAATTGCATTGAAATGGCAGTATGTTCGAGGCGATCATGGGAAACCAACTATTATGCTTGAAGTAGTAACTTCACAAGACTTATGGATTTGACATCATTCTTTGGGGTTGCGGGTTCAAACAATGATATTAATGTGTTGAGCCAATCCAATGTATTCAACGATGTTCTGCAGGGACAAGTTCCTGAGGTTCATTATACAATCAATCATACTGAATACAACAAAGGCTATTATCTATCAAATGGTATTTATCCTAAATGGGACACGTTTGTAAAAAGTATTCTTATGCCACAAGGGGATAAGAGAAAATTGTTTGCCCAACATCAAGAAGGGGCAAGAAAGGATATTGAACGAACATTTGGAGTTCTCCAATCCCAATTTGCGATCATACGTCACCCAACACAATCTTGGCATTTAGACACACTCCAACGCATAATGAATACATGCATCATATTACACAACATGATTATTGAAGATGAATGTGCAACATATGGTGGAAATTTTGATTTTTCTTTTAATCATTTGAGTAATGATGCAATAATATTGCCGAATGATTCTAATATTGATTTTCAAGAGTTCCTACGTAGAAGATTTGATGTACGTGATAAACAAATTTATCGACACCTATAAGAAGACTTAATAAAACATATATGACAACCTTATGAACATGAAAATAACAACAATTGAAAAATGTTTTAAATATTTATTTACTTTTGTGCTAGTAATTTAATTTAATTATTATGTTTTTTTAATGTATTTTTTAATTAATTATTTGTGTGATATATTGTGTTTAGGGTTTAGGGTTTTGATATATTTGAATTAAATTGTTTCAATTACATTTTTATAAATATAAATGTTGGGTATGTAGTGAGATTTGATGGGGGGGTCATTTTAAAGTTTTTAATGAGTTGTATAAATATTTGAAAAATTTAATTGAGTTGTTTAAAAATATAAAAGTGTAATATAATATAAAAAATTGTGTGGACCTCCTTAAAAGAGCAAAAGTATGGTTAATGGGTGTGGATGCTCTTAGTAGTCTGGTTAACAGAACTAAAAGGTTACCAAGAACTAAAAGTATGGTTAACAGAACTAAAAGGTTACCAAGAAGAAGAAAAAAATGATTCTATCTATAAACAGCAGCAGAAAAATTAAAAAGCTAAAACACCATAGATAACAGGACCAAAATATATGCATTCTATCTATTATACTTGCAAAACAAGGTTAGAAAAATGTGTCAAAGTTGTAGAGCAACCTTTTTTTACAATTGTTAACAGTAAAAATCTCTTCCTATGTTGCAACCAATGAAGCAACAATTCAAAACTTCATATGTCCATGTTAAGCAACTTCCCTTGAATTCTCCTACTTTGCTATCAATTAAAACTATAGGCTCCGCAGCCACTAGATTGGAAAGACTAACTTTGTTCACTAGGGTGTATTTGATCCAGAAGGAATCTTTAAGGAAAATTTTGCCTTTAGAAAGGGGAAAAAGTTCTTAAGGGAGTGTTTGGAGTGAAAAGGGTAAAAAAAACTAAGTAACAAGACCTGATCATAATTTTTCTATGAGATTAAGATGACATGATACAAAGCAGATCACTGCAAGGATCCCCCATGGGGATACCTGGAAAATACAGGCATGATCCACCATTTTTACAAAAAACTTCCAACCAAATGCTTCTTTCAGCCTTTTTCTTTATGTGTCTCTGGATCTTGATTCCTACAAAGATTGACAACTATTATCAATAACAATAACAAATTAAACCATCCTAGCACAAAATAACCAGCTAATGTATATTGGAGCAATGGGGTGGGTGAAATATAAACATTAAGATTCTTTTATAATCACATTAGCAGCATTTCCCGTAGTTAAGTTTTAACCAGCAAAGCAGAGTGAGTAATGTCAGAAATGACAGGTTATACAAAAATGTAGATCCTACTCCGTTTCATTAGATTTGGAACGATATACTAATTTCAGAAGACAAATTCTGCTAGGTGCCTATGTCAGTTGATTTTTCTTTGTATTAGATTCTGAAACAGCTGGTAAAAAATGCATCCACCTTAATGGTACAATACAAGTTTTGTTAGAAATTTTTAGGAATATCAAAATTTAGTACCAGCAATAGATGTTAGGCCCCGAAAGCACTGTAAGCAAAAAAAAGAAAAAGTTCCAAGCTTGTTTTGATGTATTTTAATTGCAAAATTCCTAAAATATTCCAAGCAAAAAAACCTCAATACATTTTTTAGAGTTCTTTAGAAATTTAACAGGCCGTTATGAGGTGTGGACGTAGTGCTGACAGCCTCAACATCTGCTATTTTGAAGGCTACAGTGACTGCTGTGGTCGCTACACTACACCCTTACAATGTCACTATTGACAACCCTGCCAGCGATGTAAACTCAATTTCATAAATCAAAATTATAAGGCCCTACTTTAAGTAATTTCCAGTTCCCCTATGTAATTATTTTCATCCATTACATCCTAATCTCAGACCAGTGTTGTCAAATATTAATATCGGAAAATATCGGATCACCAAAAAACTGATATGAGAAATATCGGATCGCGTAGCGGGCAAATATCGGAAGCCACAAAGTGGTTATAACAAAAATAAAAACTAAAAAAGTTGAAAATTTCAAATCCAATAACTAAAATAGAGAAGCTACAAACAAAAGTTTAAAAGGAATTAAAACTCAAAGTTAAATAGTTTAAACTAGTAAGTAGTAGTTCTTCTATGTCTAACTAATGATAAAAGATTTCACTATTCTCCTTTTCTTCTTCCCCAACATAATCATTATTCTCCTTTTTTGATAGTGAGGCATATCCTTCAATTTCAATTGAATCATCTGACTCAATATCCTCATCATTAGATGAAGAACCAACCAACTTCTTTGTTTTAGATGAAGTGCCAACAACATTAGGGTTGAGAGTTTCTTTTCTCTTTTTAATTGTTTGCCTAGTATATCTTGTAGGCTCTCCAACTTTTGAAGCTCTATAAACAGCTTCCCAATTAAGGACACCCTCATCATTCTCATCCTCAAAGACTCTTTCATTCCTAGCATCAACTTCAAGTGTAAAAGATTGAAGAAATGAGGAAGAGCAGCCGAAGAATTAAAGGAAGAGTAGTCGAAGAATGAATTAACAATCAAAGAATGAATTAACAGTATGAATGAACAAATAGGTATATATAATACAAGGCACCGACTCAGTATGAAAGAAGAGGAAGAATGAACTAGTATATATAATACTAGACACCGACTCAGTAGCCATGTTTTCCTTTTTCAATGTTTCCACCTCTTTAGATTTACTTTTCCACCTCTTTAGATTTACTTTTCCACCTCTTCACCTTACCCTCTTCAATGTTTCTACGTTTCCACCTCTTCATCTTTCCCTCTTTAATGTTTTTAAAAATAATTTATTATAAAAAAAAATAATAATAAAAATATGGCTTCTTTTAAAAATGATTTATTATAAAAAAAATAATAATAAAAATATGACTTCTGATATTCCATTCATAACTGGTATACCGGTATGCCGGAAAATCGCAGATATCTCAAGCATCGAAATTGAAATGTTATACCGGCTTTCGTATTGGATAGCTAAAATTCCAATATGCAATACCTGAATACCGGCGCTATACCGGATATTTAAGAAAACTGTCTCAGACACTAAGTGACAACCTAATCAAGTTCACCCTTTATCTGATAATAAACATGTCAGTGCAGTCTTTTAGAGATTAAAAGAACAAACAATGAAACTGATAACTTCAACTTAAGTGAATTTCCAACTACAATTCCTGGGAACATGTAAACATTAAGCCAACAATATGTTTATAACAGAGAAATAAAATGGCTTTAGCAAATCATTTCTCTAAACATTAAACAATATTCTTAAACAAGTTAAACCTTAACAACATCAATACTAAGCAAAAAATATAAATATAGAAGGGATGGATAAGAATGGTACCTACCCTAAAGTATTAATGCCAAGACTTATTCTGGCAGCGAAACTCAGCTAAGAGTGCTATATGATCTGAGGACCATCCAGGTGAAGGAAGTGCAGTGTCCTTCCTCAAACTCTCCTCATCCAATAACTCCAATAACGACGCTACAGTCAATAAATCCGCTGAAACCAAAACACATATAAGTTCATTTAAAAAATGGCCAATAAAACAAATTTATAACAAAAATGCAACATGGAAAGGCAGCTCACCTGAGTAAAATATGTAGTCTAGAGTGCCAACAAAATCTCTAGTGATGCTTGTGAATAAAGGTTCATTTATTCTGCTATCCAGTCTCTTTTTATGCTGCTCCAATGCAACACCAACTGTTCTTGCAAAAGCCGTGTACGCACTGACCTAAAATTTGAAGTCACATAAAACAAAATAATAAATTAAATCAAAAGATTAAAAAAATTATAGAACTAGAATGAATACACATTTTAAATAAGCAACATCTTTAAGGGATGAACTTTAATGAATATATTACCAGTGGCAACTGATGAACCAGCTTGCTATGAGGGTGTAAAATATTGAGTGGGTCAACTGTTAAATCATGATGTGATGGGTCTACCTTCCCCAGTGCAAGAAGTTCATGAGGAGCACTGCAACAAAGTCAAGAATAACCTTTTGAATAAACAAATAAATAACTCACAAAATAATATTAAAAAAAAAATATTAGAAAGATTCACCATACCTTCCTGGAACCGAATTAAAGTCTCCACAAACCAACATTGGAATGTCTGCACTTGCAGCTATTTTTTCCAACCCTTTTAAGAGAGTATGCACCTAAAGGAAGAGGAGAAAATTAGTAGATGCTACTTTCAAATGTGACTGTAAAGCATGAACAAACCAAAGAAATAGCTTACCTGCCAAAGTTTGACATCTTTTAAATCTTGCTGGACATGCACATGTGTATTTGCCTAAGTCCACACAAGCAATATACAAGTTAATGCTATAACTACTACAAAAAAAAATGCCCTATTCTGAAAGGAGGGGCTGAAAGGTATGAAAAACAATATCTTAAAGGAATGTCAAAATTTGGTTTAAAAATGAATCTCTGAAACCAGACATCTAACACAGTCCTTTGAATGAGATAGTTGAGCAAATAAAAGGGGAAAAGGCACCTTAGGACTAGTGCTATATAAAAAATTTATACATGACTAACAACCATCAGCAAAATAAGATAGCACACCACCACATTAGTCGCCACCAGAGAAAAACCTTACAACCTAAGACATGGCAAGGATCACTCTTACTGACAAAAGATAATTAATAAAGAAACACCCATGAAGCAAGCCACTAGATTATCCTTTTGGGACAAATATTCAACAGACATTGCAATTTCAATCTGATACTCCGGAAAAAAAAACAAAAGCAATGAAAATAAAATGCTAACTATAAAACCTGAAACCATTAAGACATGAACAAAAACAACCATAAAATACTATCAACATAAAAGAGTAACTTACCACACAAACAAGTTGTTTTTTCGCAAGATTATCAGCTATTTGATTGTTAACTTTCATTTCTAGAACCATTATTAGTGCAACATTATCCTAAGAATACAATGAAATTTTGGCAAGCATCAGTCAAGACTATAATTTTAGCCCAGAAAAGCAGAACTGAAATGTAATTTTGGGGAAATAAGCCACCTTGACCAGTCGATTCAAGGCAATTTTTTTCTGAGTGGTTGGAATCACAGCTTCTGTTAAAGAATGTGCAGCCTTATTGAACTCAACCTGCACGCAAGCATACATGGTTCTAATTTCTGTACAAATAGAGCTGAACTAACTGTAAATAAAACTCAATTCCCAACCTCATATTTCTTCACATGGGCAAATTTGTCTCTGCGGTAAAATGTTGCACAACCATCAAGTGTTTTCCCACCGAGTACCTGGAAGCCCGAAATAAACAGGTTAACTTAACAAAAAAAATGAAAATTTAGGACCACATGGGATCTGAGTATTTCAATCACCTCGGTTGTTTTTCTCTTGAAAATACCGTAATAGCCATGTTTGTCTAATTCAGGGGAAAAAAAATCGTCATAATGGTCATTTTGAACCTGGAGAAAAAAAGGGGATCTGTTATCTTCTACATAAGCAATTATCTTCTACATAATGTTGCCATGCGTTTCTAAGGGACTGGATTATGAACTACTATGACATAAGAAAATAAAGAATTCTAACTCAAACTCCCATCTCCCCGCCCCACCCATCAAAAAAGAAAAGACAACATATTCACATGCATGGAAATTAAAGTAATGTTTTTCGTAATTTACGCTATCCATAAGAGCATTCTAATCATCTATATTTGTAGCAATACAAGTTTCAGTATAATAGAATAGCCAGATATTTTGCCACAGCCAATTCTATAATTCAAGTGTTCATCAAAACAAACAGGGATTAAACCTTAACGACGTGTAAAAAAAAAGTGAAATAAATAAGAATATTAATGCAACACCAAAACCATAACCACAAACATGCTAATGTACCTCCTGAAGGCAAATAATGTCTGCTTGGTAACCAACAATTTCCCGTAATAAATTTTGCCTGCGATATGGCCAAGAAAGTGCCCATGGAGGGCAATAATTATACAGATCATTTGAGGCACATGTCTCGGACAATACCTTGTATGACATAACAGTAAAACTCCGCCGCCTATCTAGACCTAAATGCCCCATCCCATCAACATGTATCAGCTGACGCGGAGTAGGTGAAGGAGCAGTAATGACCCGATTAGTTAATAAAGTGTTAGGTTGCCCCACACGTAATTTTGTCACTGTACTAGCTATAGAACATTCAAACTTAAGAACATGACCAATGTCATCAGCAGTTGGGGTATAAGTCTTAGACCGTCCGACTTCGAACCAAGTTTCATCGCCATGTTTGATACCTGCTGGATATATAGGAGGTGTATATCCAATAGTCAAGTTAGCACTTGAAACAGAATTATTAACCCGCCAAAATTTGTCCTCATTTCCATTAACTGCATTTGCAGCACACTCATGTAAGGCACGATGGTGCGGCCATGCATCTCGAAAACACTTTGGGGTGCAGTGGTAACTTTTAGCAACAGGTATTTGGGGCTTAAGACAGGCTAGACACTGTAATTTGGCTGGCTCAGATGGATGTATACTACATACAGCAACATTTTTATCACTTTGTACACGATACCTGCCACAAATAAGGGTCAAAAGATGCAGTGTTAAAATAGAGAAACCCGGCTACTACATCATATCAATAGAAAAGTACAAAGTTGCAGAACATTTGGGATCAACTTACTATCTCACCTAAACTAGGAGCTAAAAAATATGTGCAACATTCACAACACAACCAAGCCTTATCCCACCAAGTGGGGTCGGCTACATGGATCAAATAACACCATAATGTTCAATCAAAGAACATATCTCTATCCAACCCGTTAATCTCAATATCTTTCTCAATAGTGCATCATTTGCAAGTGAAAAAGAAATTAAAAACAAAATATACGAAGTAACCAAATACAAAACATATTAATACATAGAAATTTCATCCTAATATAAAATCATTACAAGCATAACCTATTATCAACAAACGGATTTTATAATAATATTAAAGACCACGTCTCAATACTAGCCAATCTCATGCATAAAGCAATTACAATGCAATCATATTACTGAACTGATATCTGTCTCCACTCAACCATCTGACTGCATGCAAATACTCAGTGACACCATAGGAGGCAAAAGAAATATCAACATGAGACGTTCATAAAAGAACGCAAACTATTATAAGATCAGTCCAATGAAGCATTGCTAACAGTTATAATTATATGTTGCAATCCCTAAACACATAAAATGCACAGCCTAATAAATCGCCCAAAATCAAACAGTTAGAAAAAATTATTTCTAGCAACAAACTACCAAAGACACACATTATTAACTCTAATATACTTCATACAATTTTCAATTAGCTTCAAAACTTCATACAAAATTAATCCAATAGCATATATAACAATCCATAAATAATCCGAATTTGTATATTGGATGAACAGTTCTTGATTAGGCTTGCCGAACTCTAAATCACCAAGACCCTATCTTCCCAAGAACCATAGTCTAACACCAAGAAAAACCTAATAGCAACACTGAATACCACAAGATTGAACAATACCTGTTGCAACTTCAATATTAATCAAACCACATAAAAAACAAAGAAACATCAAAAAATTGAATGAAGTATATCAATGTGCTTCACTTAAGGAGCATCTTAACGACAATTCTTTTGAAAAAACAGTTTGAATTTTCGGCGAACAATACAAACCGCGTAAAAAACAAAGAATTGAAATAAAGAAAGAGAGGGAGAGAAAAATACGAACCACTTGTAGCGCAAGAAATGGCCGTCTACAGGGGAGGTTTCAGGAATATCATCAGCAGTAACAGTTGAATCAGGGCGGCGAATAAGAACATACGGCGAGAGTTCGATGCCAACAATGGGGATATCAGAAGGAAGGTGCAGTCGCACCACGGCCAGCATTGTTGAGTAACAGTTTGTTTACGGCCGGCGACGGTGGTGAATCACGGCGGCACTCGGAATGAACGTTGAAGTGGATACCAGATGGATCACACATTTACTTGACCCGAGTAACGGCAATTGATGGATCTTGGATTGAAGATTCTAGAAAGAGAGAAATGAGATTACTAGGGTTTTATACTTGAGGAGAAGTTGAACAAAGAAGAAGAGGGACTAATCGTTTGTGCTTAGTTTCTTTCTCTTTTATATTTGAGACTGTGAAGAGTATATGTAAGGCGCTCTAATCTTGTTTGTGTATTTCGGTTTTCGTTTTGGCTTTCCCTCTTCTTCCCCTTTTCTTCCACGCTTTTGAAGATTGGAAATTAGATTTTTATTTTTCTTTATTTATTCATTCATCAAAATGTTTTTTTTACCCTCTAAATGGGCTACTCTAAATGTCTAACTAAAGAGGTTTTTTCATTATACCTCCCATTTTTTTATCTAGAACACCTTCAAGGTCATAGAATAAATTGAAAAATAATTAATGTTGTTGATAAACTTCAGTATTTAAGTGTGTTTTATCAAGGGCAAAGATTTTTCAACTTCATCCAACTAAATTTGTAATAGTCAAAAACTATAAATTTCATTGTCTCCTACATTAACAATGTCATTAATACACTAATGTAAGAAAAGAGGAAACTGAGACAAATATTTTAGTTCATTATCAGTAACCAAAATATTTATGTTGTAACAAAATTGGTTTGTACCATGTCTCTAGGGTTTTGATAATAACAAAGTATTTAAAGAATAATTGAGTATATTAATATTTTTTCAAGTGTGCAGGACCATAGATTAAAATTTCAGGAATAAACTATGTATTGGTTTTGTTAGTGAACATCTAAAGAGAAGCGTAGAGATCAGAAGTTGAAGACCATACTCTGAAGAATTCTACCTTTGAAGACCATGTTATGAAGAATACAACTTTTGAAGACCAGTCACTAAAGAAGCCAACTTCTGATGGTCAAAATATGAAGTCAGTCGGAGCGCGAAGATCAAGGTGACTCTGATAGGTCATTGTCAAACTTTGTGACTATTTTGTCATCTTTTGATCACAGGAGGACCTAAGTTATTGTTCATATAGACAATTAAGATCTAACTGATAATTCCTTTTGAAGCAAAGAAATTTCAAATGACTTTTCAACGATATTAACCATCTCAAGAAATATCTCAACGTCTCTGAATCAAGCTTCTCAAATATTCTCTTGTGCAAACTTTCCAACAACTTTTTTTCTTCTTTATATAATGAGCTGATGATTTGAAGAACAACAATGAACCACTGACATTCAAAGAGTTGTTACTCTGTCAAAACATAAGCACAAGTTTAGCTTATTATTTCTCATCTTTGCATATCTTAGAAACCTCTAAGTCTTAAAGAGTCTTCTTGTATTGTATTTTATTTACTCCTCTTATTGTATATCAACTATATTACCCCAAACAATCTTTTATCTGTTAGGTAGATTGTTAAAATTCTCTTACTTATTGTTTGAGCATTAGAAGTTTCTTGCTTAAGTGCTTGAGCATCTAAAGTCTCTTGCTTGTGTGCTTGAGCATTTGAAGTCTCTTGTTTGTCTGCTTGAGTATTAGAAGTCTCTTACTTTGTGTTTGAGCATTGGATGTCTTTTGCATGTGTTCTTGAGCAAATTGTAATCTTGTATGATTATTGTGAAATCCCTTTAAAGTGCAAGGGGATTATACTACTCTCGATTTATGAGAGGAACCAAGATAAATTTGTGCGTCTCCTTATTTATTTCATTCCTTATTTGTTTCTTATCACTCACCTCTTATTTAGACTTTAGACTTTGTGTTTAGAATCGAACTAGAGTTTTAAAAAGAAAGAAAAAGTCAAACACAACTCAACTTCCCCCCTTCTTGTGTTTTTCCCACCTTTAGTTGGCATCAAAGCACGATTTGTGCTAAACACTTAATAGTGGTACATAAAAGATCTGAGAGAAAAATATATTAATCATGTCTGAAATATCTGAGACTGATAGTGGTACTCCTAACCCACATGTTATTGTTAATCATAATTATATTACTTTTGAAAATAATAACTATACAACTAGACCTCCAACTTTCAGTGGAGACTCTACAGAGTTTGAATGGTAGAAGAGTAAGATGTACACTCACATCATAGATCTTGACGATGAGCTGTGGGACATTCTTGAGAATGGCATTGATATTTTAGTTAATGGAGTTTGTATGGTAACTAGCAGAAAAAGTCTCACATCTGCTCAGAAAAAAGACTTATAGGAAATGTAACACCCTAATTTTTCCCGCGTAATTAAAATTAAAATTAGAGTAAAATAAAAAAAAATATGCAATTAGGATGCCATATCCAACATCAACCTGCTCATATATTTCGACATGCAACACGTATAGTAATTAAAAAACACCACATAAGTCTGAACTTCAATATTTTGTTAAGTAGTAGAAAACATCAGGACTAAATAGTCAAACCCTTCCAACATAATTATAACAAATGTAGTTATAAGGGAATTATCAACAAGAGAGATTCACATAACATCCTCATCGACATAAAATTATCCAACCACGGAGGTATACATATAGCTTTCTCCTAACATAAACAAAACAAGCGTCGACAACCCAGTGTTACATATCAGAGCAGACACTGACTCGACAAAAGTATAAAGGAGAGTATCATCTTCTACTAATATCTACACCTTCATTGTGGATCACTTGCGCATTACCCACGTGGAGACAACATTCAAACAGAAGGGTGAGATATCGTGATAATATAAAGGAAAGCATGATAATCAGTATGCATTAGATTAACACATGCAATATCACACATCATCAACACCAGATTATCCAAGCATAAGAATGACACAACAACAATTCAATTAAATATCTCATATTAATCAACCAATGACATCATCACTACTTATCCACCAACCAATATAGAATCACATGATAACAAATCTAATTAATCACAACAATACCGCATATTAGCAACATAGCGACATAATTAATATATAATGCAATAAGACTCACTATAACACCCTAAATTCTTGGAATATTTATTTAATTTATTTAAATATGAATATTCGCATTTTTGGTGATTTTCGGTGGTTGGTGTGAAATATTGAGAATTATGGATTTTGGGTTATTTATTTAAATAATAGTATATAATATGAATATATTGGTATTATTATTAATTTAAATAAACATAAGTTAACTAAGGGCAAATTGGACAATTGAGGAGGAGTTAGTGAGGGTAATATTGGAAAGCCCGATTTTAAGGCCCAAGGTTAGGTTTAACAAAAAGGAATTGTGATGGGATTAGGATTCATTTTGTTATACCGTGAAAAGAATTGAGGCCAGAGCTCTGAGGAAGAGGTTTGAGGCAAAAGCTTCGAAATATTTTCTGAAAGTCAAAGAGAAGGCTTAGAGTCAGCAATTAAGGTATGAGAAGTATTGCCTTCATTGTTTTCAATGTGTAATTTCAATGTATTTAAGGTCGATTTAAGAGTTTAAAGGGTTTGAGGTTGATTATGGGATAAAGGGAATTTGGTCTTCATGGCCTAAATCTATTATTGAGATTTTAACCGAAGGGATTTATTTGGGTTAAAGGAAATTAGGCCTTCGTGGCCAAAGCTCTGATTTGATATTTGTCTAACCTTGTAGGGAAATTTAATAGTGAGAAACTCTGATGATTGTGGTGTAGTGGTAAGGTTTTATGGGATTTAGAGCGTAAATATATACAAGATTGGCCTAATAAACTGTAGGTTTTGTGCCTTTATCGTCGTAAGACCTTAGGGATGATTTAGGGATGTTTTGGAGGCATTAGGGAAGTGAATCGTGGGGCTTTTGGGCTGATTTTAGGTTCTGGTGCGTAACAGCGTTTTGCTGTCATCGCGTTGTTCACACAGCGAAGAATCCTTTTGCACAACGAATGATTTCGTCCCATACTCGCACTGCGAAGAATCCTTCGCACAACGAAGAAACTCGCCCCAGACTCGCACAACGAACTTGCTAGCGAACGTAGCAGAGTTTCGCGAATTCTTATTCTTGCAGCGATGCCTTGATGTTTTGATGTTGTGATTTCTTTGACGAATGAATATGAGTATTGTTGCACCCCAAAATTTGACCAACTACTTATAGAAATTTGGCTCATGTTTCGACTCATTTTGCATTTGCATTTGCATACCGCGTACATTGCATTTTTTGCAGTCAGATTGATTTTATCGGGATTACAGCCCTCCCCTGGCGTTTCAGGCGTTCCAGGCCGCAAATACGAGGATTTATTTTGGGAATTGGTGCTCGTCCCGGTGTTTTCAGCTTTCGCTGTTGTTTTTAAGGACGTTTCGGTGTCCGGTTTTTACCATTTATTTCGCTGTATTCGCGCATCTTTTTTCTAATCGGTTTAATTGACCTTCCCTGCATTTTTAGATTTTTTTCTCTTAATTTCTAGAATTTTAACGAATTTTAATTGTTTTTCAAGAATTTTAATTCTTTTAAATAGATTTTAATAGTTTTTTAGAGGTTTATTTTCTATTATAGAATTTAATAGATTTTTAATAGTAATTTTCTATTTTTTAGAATAATTCATTTTTAGATATAATAGTTTTTTTAAATAGATTTAAATTGGTCTGATAGATTTTTTTTCTATTGTTAATTGATTTAGAATTTAGTGGATTTAATCATTTTTAGATATTAATTGGTTTAATAGAGTTTAAATCATTTCTTTTCTAGATTGATTTCTTTTTAGAGTTAACTAGATATTAATTAGCTGTTAATTAGCAGTTTAAGAAGTTTGGTTAGATTAATTAGCTTTAATTAAGTCTAGATTAGTATTAATTTTTGTTTAGGTTTTAATTAGATTTGTTAATCTAGATCAATTTTGATATAGGATTTAATTAGTTAATTGGTTAACTCCCGTTAATTGTCATTAGTATCTTTTTCATCATTAATTTTCATTTGGCTTAGTTAATGTTAATTAACTC